GCTTCAACCAGCCTCCTTTACCCCACAGTCCGAGATTGGCTTTGGGAAACTGGAGACTTACATCAAGCTGGACAAGCTGGGCGAGGTGAGGAACAGCCAGGAGGCCCATGGTGGGGATGGGGGCCAGGGGGAACTCCCTGTAGCCTCAAGCTCCTCTCCTGTCACTCTTCTTCACACCCCAGGGTACCTATGCCACCGTCTACAAAGGCAAAAGCAAGCTCACAGACAACCTTGTGGCACTGAAAGAGATCAGACTGGAACACGAAGAGGGGGCACCCTGCACCGCCATCCGGGAAGGTACAGACATCCGGGAAAATCTGCCCCAGGCTTCCCAGGCTCTCTCCGTGGCACAAGCACTCACCCCCCATAGTGAGAACAGAGACTCGAGGGTTCTGGGACTTCCCGACACTCTGAGCTTCGTGAGAAAGTGCCCATCACCCACATATGTAGGTAATAATCAAGGTAACCAGGAATCTCTTCCTGTTTGGAGAAGAGGCAGATGAATTGGAAAGCAGTGTGCTTGCTTTGGTTCTAAGAGCACCCCTGAAGGTGCTCACCAATTTACTGACACAACAGTTTCTAGTTAGACTGTCACATGGAGTGAATTTGAATTGCATAAAAATTGAGTGTGCAAACTCAGTTTCACATGAAGCTGCAGGCTTATGTACTGAGGGTTGGAGCAAGGCCCCTTTCCAAAAACCAAAAACAGATTGTGACAATCTAGTGTCACATAAACCTGGGGCTGCAGTCCCAGATTCTTGCTCTGTACTCTTCTCTGAGCCTTAGTTTTCACATCTGGAACATGGGGACACACCTTCCTGGCATTGGGTGGGTTAGAGCTGGTGGCTGTGAGCTGCCACCCCAAACTGCACTGGGAAAGAAGGAGACCCTGGGCTCATCCCTGTCTGGTCCTCGTCCTCGCCTCTATCCTGAGGGTGGGGTGCTGACTCTTCCCCTGTCCCACCCCCATGTTTCCTGCAGTGTCCCTGCTCAAGGACCTCAAACACGCCAACATCGTCACTCTACACGACATTATCCACACAGAGAAGTCCCTCACCCTTGTCTTTGAGTACCTGGTAAGGTTGGGTGGCAGTGGGTCCCAGGGGGAGGTGGGGAGATGGCCAGGAGCCACAGGATGTGACCCTCTTTCCTCTACCTGCTCTTCTCTCCTTAGGACAAGGACCTGAAGCAGTACCTGGATGACTGTGGGAATGTCATCAACATGCACAACGTGAAAGTGGGTGTGGGGCAGGAAGCAGGGGCACAAGGGGGCCCCCACTCACCCACTCTACCCCACAAATCTCCCAGAAACGGTCTTTTCCCGTTTGGCTTTTTTGCTGGGAGCCCTTGGAGGGCATTGGGACCCTGCCCTCTTTTGTGAGACAAGGCCCTGGGCTCAGTGTCTGTGTTGGGAGGGGGAGCAGTGCCTGTTGGGTGTCAGGCTGCTGGATACTCTTTGACCTCTGCCTGCATTCCTGGGTCCCCAGCTGTTCCTGTTCCAGCTGCTCCGTGGCCTGGCCTACTGCCACCGGCAGAAGGTGCTACACCGAGACCTCAAGCCCCAGAACCTGCTCATCAATGAGAGAGGAGAGCTCAAGCTGGCCGACTTTGGTACCCCTGGTCTCCCCCTTTCCCATGACCACCTAGTCTAAGTCCCCTTCAGCCTCTCCAGGATTTGCTTAGGACGCCCTCAGTACCAACTGCACTCTCCCCCAGACTTCCCAGGACCTCCTCAATTCCAGCTGCCCCTTCTCTCCACCTACCAGGCCTGGCCCGGGCCAAGTCAATTCCAACAAAGACCTACTCCAATGAGGTGGTGACACTGTGGTACCGGCCCCCTGACATCCTGCTTGGGTCCACGGACTACTCCACCCAGATTGACATGTGGTGAGGACAGGTGGAAGTGTGGCAGGGGCCATGTGGTAAAGGGGGTGGCTCAGTCACAACAGCCAGCCAGCCAACTGCCTCCCTCTTCACTGTGCCCTCCCTGCCCAGGGGTGTGGGCTGCATCTTCTATGAGATGGCCACAGGCCGGCCGCTCTTCCCGGGCTCCACAGTGGAGGAACAGCTGCACTTCATCTTCCGCATCTTGGGTGAGGAAACACAAGCCCTAGGAGCTGTGGGGACATGCATGGAGACCCTGTGAGATGCTTAGGGTAGCTCCTCTTCCCTTCCAGGAACCCCAACTGAGGAGACATGGCCGGGCATCCTGTCCAATGAAGAGTTCAAGACATACAACTACCCCAAGTACCGAGCCGAGGCCCTTTTGAGCCATGCACCCCGGTGAGGCTGGTGGGTAGGTGGGTGTTAGGGGCCAGAGTGCCCAAACTCAATTTAAAGCAGGTCCCCTTGTTCTTGTGGTAGACTTGACAGCGATGGGGCTGATCTCCTCACCAAGTTGCTGCAGGTGAGACCACCTTCCTGGGCCAGCCTTGGGGGCTAAGGGATTCCAGGTGTAGGGAAACGGAGTTCCAGGGGCAGGGTCTGGAGTGGGGAGGAAGAGAGGCCTACTCATTGGAGGTGTCAGTATTCCACACATACGCCCCCGCCCCCCACTCAGTTTGAAGGTCGCAATCGGATCTCCGCAGAGGACGCCATGAAACATCTATTCTTCCTCAGTCTGGGGGAGCGGATCCACAAACTTCCTGACAGTGAGTGGATCTGGGGAATGGAGCTGCCGGTGGGGGGCTGTGGGAAACAGGACAGCTGCAGACAGCTTGGGCAGGTTGTGTAGGGCTCTGGCTACGCCACCTCTAAGAGGGTACACCCTTGTTCACACGTGTGATGTGTTGTGTTTATTACAAAAAAAGTTATTTCGTTTTTAGTTCCTGTCACCTTTCATAGAAATTTTCAAACATACATAAAAAAATAGATGCAACATCACTTGACCTGTTTTTTTTTGTGTGTGTGTGTGTGAGGAAGATCGGTCCTGAGCTAACATCTGCCAATCCTCCTCTTTTTTTGCTGAGGAAGACTGGCCCTGGGCTAACATCCATGCCCATCTTCCTCCACTTTATATGGGACGCCGCCACAGCATGGCTTGACAAGCGGTGCGTTGGTGCGCGCCCAGGATCCAAACTGGCAAATCCCAGGCCCTGCAGTGGAATGCGCACACTTAACCGCTTGCGCCACCTGGGCGGCCCCTACTTTACCTTTTTTTTTAAGTTTTCGTTGTAAAATATATACTGAGAAATGCACAGATCGTAAGTATACAGCACAATGAATTTTCACAAACTAGACACATCCATGTAATGGCATCCAGGTCAAAAACCAGGATGGGAGAAGCTCCCCCAGCGTGCCCCCATTTCCTTCACTTACTCCCGGTCCCCTTCCCAAGGGTCACTGCAAATTGGACTTATAACCACATAGATAAGGTTTCCCTGTCTTGTACTTTACAGAAATGGAATCACACGGGGTATTCTCTTTTTATTTTTTTATTTTTATTTTATTTTTTTTTGGTGAGGGAGATCAGCCCTGAGATAACATCCGTGCTAATCCTCCTCTTTTTGCTGAGGAAGACCGGCTCTGAGCTAACATCTATTGCCAATCCTCCTCCATTTTTTTCCCCCCCCAAAGCCCTAGTAGATGGTTGTATGTCGTAGTTGCACATCCTTCTAGTTGCTGTATGTGGGACTCGGCCTCAGCATGGCCGGAGAAGCGGTGCGTTGGTGCGCGCCCGGGATCTGAACCCGGGCCGCCAGTAGTGGAGCGTGAGCACTTAACCGCTAAGCCACGGGGCCGGCCCCGGTATTCTCTTTTTATATCTGACTTGTAAAAACTTTTTAATATGGATATTTTAAAATTAGCTATATTTATATACTAGACCAAATAATAGGTTGAGTCCCCAAGTATTCCAATAGATCATCAACTTGTGGCCAATCTGGTTTTATCTGTATTCCCTCTGATTATTTTGACTCACATCCCAGACATATCGTTCATCTATAAATAATTTTAGCATGTATCTCCAAAATATTCTTTTAAACGTAATGATATTATCACAGCTAAAAAAATTGGCCCACTTCTCATGTCTCCCCACTGGATTAATCTAAATCAAATCCCAGATACCATCCATCACCTAGACTTAACAGGTGGTAATTGTAGTACCATCGTCACACTTGACAGAATTAATAATGATTTCTTGGTGTCATGTAATAGTCTATATTCCACTTCTAGTGTATTTGGTTTGTGTGTGGGATTATTTAACAGACGAAAGTCAGGTCTCTCAAAGAAAAGGCAGATTTTTCTAGTTTCCCCTGTGGGGCCATATGGGAGGTGGTCCTGCATGGCCCCATGGGTCATTCCCCACTTCTGTCTCTCCTCCACGCACAGCTACTTCCATATTTGCACTAAAGGAGATCCAGCTACAAAAGGAGGCCAGCCTTCGATCTTCATCAATGCCTGACTCAGGTAGATGTGGCCCTCGCCCTCTTCCCTGCCTCTTCCACCTACCTGCTTGCCTACCAACAGCCATCCGCTCTGCTTTCCCCCCGCAGGCAGGCCAGCTTTCCGTGTGGTGGACACCGAGTTCTAAGCTGAGTTCTAAGCCACAGACCAAGGCCCCAGCAGGCAGCGGCTGGAGGGATGCCACACCCCTCACAGGGCAGCCCCCCAACTGCATTCTCCCTGCTTGCTGCCTGCCTACCTGCCTGACTCATGCTCGCCTGCCCACGTGTCCCCTGCTGCCTGTCTGGACACCCGACCATTGGCCTGTCAACCCACCCATTGGCCTGTCTGCTGGGTGCTAACAAAGCTCTCATCGCTCCTTCGCCTGGTCTCTCTGTCTGTCTCTCTCTCTGTCTTGGTAGTTGCCGGCGGACAGCATGGCCGTGCCAGCCTCCCACACTGAGGCCTGGCCTGTACCCCTCCCCATCAAACCCTCCCCCAGGACCACTACCCCGTGGCCAGCCAAGGGGCCGGAGCTAGCCCAGGCTGGGGATCTCGAGTCAGACAAGATGTGGTGATGCCTTGGGTCTGAGGCTTCCCCTGCCTGCTTTCCTGCCTGCCCCACCTGCCTCATGTTGTGTGGGCTTTTTTTTTTGTTTCATTCATTGTTGTTTTTTAATTATTTTAAATGAGGTTTTCATTTTTTAAATGCAATATCTCTGTATACAGACTGGCTGGGCTCCACCCCCTGCGTGTGGCCCTCCCACAGTATTTTGTGCAATGAAGCCCCACTCCCAGACTCTCTAAGGCAGGGACACAGCCCCTATTCGGAACCCTGACCATCACCAGACCCTGGGGTCAGCTAAGGGAAAGCATGCCTTGACCAGTCGCCTTCCTACCCCCGCCTGCCATCCCCAGCCATAGGGGGAACTGGGGACTACCGGAGACTCTCTGGGAGATGGGCGAGGTGGGGGGCCCCCACTCTTTCCCTCCTGCAGTCCCATAGCTGGGGCCTTCTTCCTTCTCAGGGTCTCCCTAGCCCAGCCCTCCTGCCCCCATCCCACTTGGTGCTGTTGAGTAGGGGCCCTGCCAGGAACTGACCAACTCAATGTGGAGCCATAGTGTGTATATGTGCACAAGCAGGGGCAAAGGGGAGCATGGGGGGTTGTGCCCAGACATTACCCTCTAACTCCTGGGGAGGGTGAGGCAGGGCAGGGACAGTCTCTGGGGTCAGTCCCAGATGGGTGGTTACCTCCCCTTCCTCCACTCTAAACCCTGGGGCCCTCAGATGGGGTGGGAGGGCAGCAGTGGGGGCCCTCCTAGTGGGGTTTGGGGGGTTGGGTTCCTGAATGCACCATAATTGCTGTATGAAATATTAAAGTCTAAAGTGAAAAACCTGATTGCAAATCCCTGCAGGGGTGGGGGTGGGCTTGACCCAGGGTTAGTACTGGGACCTTGGCGAATTCATACCTGGTCCCCAATGTCTAGGAGAGCACTGGGAGTGGGCCAGGGGCACATCACGACTGTGAAAAAGGCATCTGAGGGGTTGTACACGCAACAGTGGAACATTGAGTTGAAGCAGGTAGGGCAGGCCGAATAGAGGGGCTCAGAAGCAGAGAGAGGAGTTAGATTTACCCAAGAATATGAGGAAGCCAGATAGAGGGTAGAGATAGGTGAGTGTGGAGAGGTTGTTTGAAAGACACTTGGAAGGCCCAATAAAACCAGGAGGTGGGGAGATGAGGCAGAGAGATCCAGTATGACCACTATATGTCTGACCAGGACACCATGAGTTGGGCCAGTTGGAGAGGGAATATGAGAGGAGGGTAGATTTTGGATCACTGAGTAGGTAGGGGAATCCTTTAATACATGGATCAAATTGAGGAGTTGGGCCATCGATGGAACTGGAGGTTTGGATCATTGGTGTCTAGGAAGTAATGGAAACCATGGGCATGGGTAAGGTGATGCTGGGAAGGATGCAATGGTTTGTGAGAATCCAGAGGTTAAATGGTGCAGCCTGGAACTTGGCCTCAGGTGTGAGGATAGCTGAGGCTTTGGGGGCTGGCATCACAGTAATAAAGACACGATCTTTGCCCCGTGGAGGTTAACTGAAAATAGAGGTAAATTATGAGATTGTGTGTATGGGTGTATGTGTGTGTGGGGGGTGTTAGATTGTGCAGGGAGAGGGTATTCTGGACACTCAAGGCCCAGGGACCTGTGTGCATGGGCCTAGAGGCATGGAAAGGCAAGGTGTGTTCTTGCCTGTGGGAATGGGTGGTGACAGTGAAGGAAGTCACTGTAACGGATCCGGAATCATGAACCTGTCTTGGGGAATTTGTGTGACGGTCAGGTGAGGACAGCCAATAGGCAGGTAGATGCAGGGAGCCAGAGAGGGAAATGACATTATCACCAACAGGCAGGGCTGGGAGCCCTAGAAGAGAAAAGGATGGCATAGCCTACTGCAGTGGTTCTCAACGGGAGAATCCCCACCACCACCACCACTAGGGGATATTTGGCAATGTCTAGAGACACTTTTGGTTGTCCCAACTGGGAGGTGCTACTGGTGTCTTGTGGGTAGAGGCCAGGGATGCAGCTAAACATCCTACAATGCTTCCCACAACAGAAATATCAATGTTGTCTTGGTTGAGAAACCCTGGCCTAGTGCAATAGTTCTCAAACGGTCTCAGGATCCCTTTATATTCTTAAAAATTGAGGACATCCAAAGAGCTTTTGCTTATGTCATGTAGCCCCTGGAAAATTTCACCGCACATGCAAGAAAGAATGGCAATGGAAAAGTATTGTGAAAATAGTTTTGACTTTGTAAACCCCCTTAGAGGGTCTCCTGAACCAGTAGAAAGCCTAGGACTACAGTTTGAGAATCCTTGGCCTGGTGTTTAAGATCACAGCTCTAGAACTGGAATTCCTGAGTTCGAACCACAGCTCAGCCACTTACTAGCTGGAGCAAAGTGAATTAATGTTTCTGGACCTCAGCTTGCCTCATTGTTGCCCATGGACCACAGTGATATTATCTGCTGCCTAAGGCTACTATTTACATGCAATAAAGCACTTAAGCAGGGCCCACTATTATTAGTTATTGCTGTAACTCCAACAAATACACAGGGCCTAGGGCTAACTTGCCTTCAACACGTTTGTCTAGAGAATAAATCTGGGCAGGCAGGGAAGCGGCCCGCAGCCCTGGGTGGCGCTTTAGAGGTGGTGACCTTTTTCGCATTGGGTTTTGATGGATCAGAAGGGTAGTGCAATGAAAGAAAGGCATTCTGGTCAGGCTAACAAAGACGCTGCTCCCAGGGTAGAGGCCCCCAACAGAGCATGGGACCCGTAAAACCAGAACCTGTGTGTGTGTGTCCCTGAGCACTCCTGAATATGTCTTCGTCCACCTCGGGGACCTCTGCCTCCACCTTCCACATTACCGTCTGCCCTGGCTCAACATGGCGTGAGAATCCCACAGGGTACCTTTGTCTTTCTTAGTTCCCAACTGGAGGTTTTACCCCGCCTATTGGTCGCAGAGATCACCGCCCACAGCCCGACGCCTGCCTAGCCCTTCCACGCGTCCAAGCGTGGGGTCCATTTCCAAGATGGAAGTAGCCCCCCGGCGTTTGGGGGGCTCTGTTTCCGCTTCCGGGACCAGAATCCGGAAGTGGCAATTGAGGGGCCTCTTCCCATCACCAGCTGCGGCGGTTGTGAGAAGAGGGTGAACGGCCATGGCGGCAGTCGCAGCGGATCCGGCGGCTGCGGATGCGGCCGAGGACCGAGAGCCACAGCGCGAAGCCATGCCGGGCCTGGAGAGCCAGCGGCGCCAGATCAAAAACAGCGAGAGTGGGCGAGAGCGTCCACTGCGGACCGGCGAAAGCTGGTGAGGCAGGGCGGCGAGCGGAGCCTCGGCTGAGCAGACGGTGGGGGCGTCGGCTACGGGGCGGCCGTGGTCCGCAGGAGAATCGCCGTGGGGGCGGGGGCACTGGCCTGTGGGACGGAGGACGAGAGGGGCGGGGAAGTGCCTGTGAGTGGATCGCCTCCTCTGGGAAAGAGGCGGGGCCTGTGTGGTGGAGCCTGACGCCTGAGAACAAGATGTGGTTTGTTGTGGAAAGGCAGGGGGCAGGGCCTGAGAAGAACGGCCCTGGGGGTGGGGCCAGGCCTGTGTTGGAACTCGGAACCTGGGAAGGAGGCGGTCTCTGCAACAGAGCCCGGGGGCGGGGTCTGTGTGGCGAAACGGGGGCGGTGCCGGGCACCCCGCGGCGCCTGAGAGAGGCCGGGCGGGTGACGTCAGGCAGAAGAGCGGGATCTGAGCCTTATGGCTGTGGGCAGGAGGAGGGAGCTGGCGCCTGGGAACGAGGCTTGTGACGTGGTCCGAGGGGCGTGTCCTGAGCCGGAGGAGAGACTGCAGAGGGGAGGTGGTGTCTGAAGCAGAAAATGGCGCCTGCGAATGAGCAAAGTTTGTGACGCGGTGAGGTTTTTGCCTCTGGCCGAGGCCTTCTTCCCGGGACAGGAGAAAGTGCAGGTGATTGGCATGGGAGGGGCCTTCGATGTTACGTTTGTTTTCTGTTTTGGTACTGTTTTGTTTTTGTAATCAGGAAAAAATAGTAATTAAAAAAAAAAGTCCATGCCTATCTTGATAAATCGGCTTGTTCTACTGATTTCTTTGCTAACCAGTGCTTGAAATGAACTGTTTATGGGTTCATTTTATTTCTCGCTAAGTTGCATCCCGTTTTTTAAATTGTGAAATTCGTGAGACCTAAAAAGATGATAGAAAACGTTTACGTAGCGCAGATTGATGGACATTCCATAAAAATAAACGGCCTTTGCTCTTCAAAAATTTCAAGGTCGTGAAAGACAAAGGATGAAGAACTGTTCCAGACTGAAGGAATTAATGGGATTTAACGAGTCATGATAACTAAATGCAACGTGTGATCCTAGATTGGATCCCGGAGGAGAAAAAATAAATTATTTAAAAGTCAGGTTTTTTTCTCATAAAATTAATTTTCTCTCTTTTACTATAAAAGATATTAATGAGAAAATTGGTAAAATTTGACTAAGGTCTGTAGATTAGATATTAATACTGCTAATTTCTTGCTTTTGATAATTGTATTGTGGTTATGAAAGAATATCTTTGTTTTTTTTGGAAATACATGCTGCAATATTTAGGAGTAAAGAGCCATCGTGTAAGCAGCTTACTCTCAAATGCTTGAAAAAAAAGAGCATATATAAAAATGTATTGAGGGGGCGGGCCCGGTGGTGGCGTAGTGGTTAAGTTCGCGCGCTCTGCTTCGGCGGCCCGGGGTTCGCAGGTTCGGATCCCGGATGCGGACCTCCGTACCGCTCATCGAGCCATGTTGTGGTGGCATCCCATATACAAAATAGAGGAAGATGGGCACAGATGTTGGCTCAGGACTAACCTTCCTCAGCAAATAAGGGGAGGGTTGGCAACGGATGTTAGCTCAGGGCCAGTCTTCCTCACCAAAAAAAAAAAAAAAGTATTTAAAGAAACAACGATGGAGCAAATGGGTTAAATGTTAAATTTGGGGAATTTGGATGAAGGGCATATGGAAATTCGTTGTATTATTTTGCAATTTTTCTGAGTCTATTTCAAGGTAAAAAAAATTAAAGAATAGTAAAACAAAAATTTGTGAGTACACTACCCAGGTTAAAATTCAGACCATTACCTTAGGAAATCCTTCTCTGCCCCTCCCAGGTGAAAATCCCCATCCCTGCGCCACGGGAAACTATGATCCTGAATTTTTAACTTCGTTAACGTTTTTCCACCACTGCATGCATCCCTAAGTAGTATTTGTGGTCTAAGCTTTCATTTTGTGGAGGATACATATGAAATCATGCTGGATGCATACCGTGTGCCCTTCGCTTCATAATCAGGTGGTACATGGTATCCACATGATGTCATTGGTGACGTTAGTCTTGATCTCTTGGTGAAGGTGGTATCTGCCCGGTTTCTCCACTATAGAGGTACCACTTTCCTCTTTCTGCACACAGTAATTCTTTTAAAAACATAATTTATGTCCATCCGTTCCTCGAAACGTTTTAACAGCTTCCCATTTCATGCAGTGTTAATGCTAAAATTCTTAAAGTGACTAGTGAGGCTTTACCATTGCAAGGCTGGTGCCCGGCTGTGATTTCTTCTCAGATCGCTCTGATTACCCTCACTCTCTCCATCCGGCCATATTGGAGTCTTGCTGTTCCTCACGCGCCTCGCGCATGCTCTCACCTGAGGGCCTTTAGAAGTGCGATTTGCTCATTTTACAGAGTTCTTTCATCAGGTACTAGTGAAATATCTATTCCTGTTACTGGAGAGACAAGTTGAGATTCCCCAAATCGGGAATACGAAACCAAGCAATTTTTTTTTTTTTTTTACCCTTAGGCTGTAGCTCTCCAGCAAGGAAAAGCCTCAGTCCATCCTGAGAATAAACAACAATAACCAGAAGGTTTTTATAGCCAATTTGGAGGTGTTCAGAAGGGCCTGGGAGCTTTGGTTCCCTCTACAGCCTTGTGACGACAATACCCTTTAAAATTACCCCACTGGTCCCAGGTTTCCTTTTGGGGTGTTGAAAATGTTTTGGAACTAGATAGAGGTGGTGGTTGCTCAACATTGTGAATGTACTAAATGCCATTGACTTGTTCACTTTTAAAATGGTTAATTTTATGTTATGTGAATAAAAAAATTATGTTCTGTCAATAAAAAAAATTACCCCATTGATGTTGGTTCAGTATTGAAGCCAGTTTATTTCTGCTATTCTGGGTAATATCCTGAAACATCGTTGCTTAACTCTATTTTTTTTTTTTAATAATTTTATTTATTTATTTTTCCCCCAAAGCCCCAGTACATAGTTGTATGTCATAGCTGCACATCCTTCTGGTTGCTGTATGTGGGACGTGGCCTCAGCATGGCCGGAGAAGTGGTGCGTCGGTGCACGCCCGGGATCCGAACCCCGGGCCGCCAGCAGCGGAGCGCGCGCGCTTAACCGCTAAGCCACGGGGCCGGCCCATTAACTCTATTTTTTTTAATACTTATCTATTTAGGTAAGAGCAAAGCATCTCAAGGTTCTTTAATTTGCTGTCCGTTTTATAGGAGTTTGCTGCAGTGGTCAGGAAATTTGTGTTTATAAAGCATTTCGAAGTCATGGACTAACCCCAAATCATATACCTAATATTAATATTTGCACCTTCTATCTCTTGTCAGTGGACAGATCTGGGTGAAGGCAATTAAGTAATTTGGCCATCTGAACTGATTTAATTTCTAGGAGAAGCTTGTATTTTTTTTTTTTTTATAATTTTTATTTATTTATTTCCCCCAAAGCCCCAGTAGACAGCTGTATGTCATAGTTGCACATCCCTCTAGTTGCTGTACGTGGGACGCGGCCTCAGCATGGCCGGAGAAGCGGTGTGTCGGTGCGCGCCCGGGATGCGAACCCGGGCCGCCAGCAGCAGAGCGCGCGCACCTAACCGCTAAGCCACGGGGCCGGCCCAAAGCTTGTATTTTAAGAGTAAATTCGGGGCCAGCCCCGTGGCTTAGCGGTTAAGTGTGCGTGCTCTGGAAGCCCGGGTTCGGATCCCGGGCGCGCACCAATGGGCCGCTTCTCCGGCCATGCTGAGGCCGCGTCCCACATACAGCAACTAGGAGGATGTGCAGCTATGACATACAACTATCTACTGGGGCTTTGGCGAAAAAGAAAAAAAGGAGGAGGATTGGCAATAGATGTTAGCTCAGGGCTGATCTTCCTCACACACAAAAAAAAGAGTAAATTCAAATCTATGATAGTATAGCTTCCATAGCAAATTTTAGTTTTTCTTTTTGAGGATGAACCATCTACAAGCAGAATTAAATCAGGGATAGCCGAGGGAGTCTCTAGAAGGTCTGTGCAGGGTGTGGATAGTTCCCTATTGGAGGTAAGCAAGCAAGGGGTTCTTTGTTCAGGTAAAGGAAGGCAGATGGCCAGAGTTCAGTGTTGCAGCAATGGGTACTGATGTGTGAAGGGAAAGCAACAACGTTTCATTGAAGGTTAAGGACTAGCCTAGAAGTGTTCAGGGTTTTCTGCCAACAGAGAAATCTGCACAGCTTGGGGAACCATTAAGTTTAATGAAGACCCTAGAACTAAATCAACTGAAATTTTCACCTTTGGTTGGCGATTGCTGCTCTAGCCCTCACACAAGGTAGATATGCCTTGGCTACTGGATCTAATGAAAGACTGAAATAAACAATAGGCCTTTGATAACTCTCTTGTAATTGAGTCCGTACTCCTAGTGCTTGTTCAGACTTTTCATGAACCAAGAGGGAAAAAGTTTGTGGATCTAGAATCATAGGGGGGAATCTTCTGGTATACAGTTATTGTACCAGTTTTTGTTGCTTGAATATGAGTATGCTTTTTAGCTTGAAAAGTATGCAGTTATTGAAAGATATTTATGTTAGTATATCTAATTATATATCATTCACTATAATTAACCTAGGAAGATAAACTTTTTGATTTGTCTATTTTTTTTAATGTTAAGTTTGAAAAATGAAACAGCTTTCATAAACATTTTAAGTTAATTAAAATTTGGAGACTTTTAGATAAACCTGATTATGCCTATTGTCATTCCTTTTATAAAACGAAGGAACAAATCTTGGTATTATTTCCCAGAGACACTTTAGGCATAAAAGAACATTTTAACAGTGTTATTATTCTGAATTCGGGAAAGACAAATCAAGAATAATTGTTAAAAGAGACAAGATGTAAGTTGAAGACAAGAAGTATTTATAATAAACTTTGTAAAAAGACAGTGATAAACAGATTATTAGGAGCTTAACTTTTTTAAAGGAGGAATCTGTTCAAAAGTGAGTTAAGATATTTTTTTAAATGGATTAAGAGGATGTCAAAAAGCACCAAGAGTTAATTTGGTGACAAAAAAGGAACTTCTAATCTGGGCAGAAATTAATGTGGTCATTTTACAGAAAAAGGCCCAAATTCTAATTTTTCTCCTTTGGTACATTATTCATGTAACAATTTACAGTAAAGGATTTATAAATATGTCTTTATATGTATGTATTTAGGCTTATACAGATACATAAATAACAAATTTAGTAGAACAATGTATGTTACTGTATGTTACATTTACCATCTGAATAAACTAACAACCTTGTAATAAACAGGTAGGAAGTCATATCTCAACTTATATCCATATTTCTATTTCTCTGTAATTATTGTACCTAGTATAATTAACCAGTTATGTAAATTATTATCTTAACCAGTTTTCTTTTCTCCAGACACACGATAAAACTAGAGGACAGAAAATATTGTTTAATAAGTTTTTTCCATAAGCACATATTTCATATCATTTTAACAAATTTGAGGAAGCACAAATAAACATAAGTGACTTTAGCAGATCAATTGTATTTCTATACACTAGCAGCAAGAAATTAGAAAATTAAATTTTAAAAGATACCATTTATGATAGCACCCCAAAAAATTGAATACCTAAGAGTAAATATAACAGTATGGATGCTTTTTGTTCAGACAGTGACAACTCTGTCATGACTGCCACCTGGGCTGACAGATTATGAGACATTCTGATTTCAGAGATGTTAATTTTTTTTTTGTGTGTGGGGAAGATTAGCCCTGAGCCAACATCTCCTCTTTTTGCTGAGGAAGATCGGCCCTGGGCTAATATCCGTGCCCATCTTCCTCTACTTTATATGGAATGCCGCCACAGCATGGCCTGATAAGCTGTGCGTTGGTGTGTGTCCGGGATCCGAACCTGCGAACCCCGGGCTGCCGCAGTGCAGCACGTGAACCTAACTACGATGCAACCAGGCCGGCCCCCCAAAGTTTTTTAATGTCTTTGAATTGAAGAAATATGGTAGTAATATTTTGTGAAAATTTGTGTAAAACTTTAGTTTTCTATGAGGCCTTTAGAAATTCAGGTTGTAGCCAGATTTGGAGGTTTTGCTTACCACTATAAAAAGTGATTTTAATGTTAATTTTCCGTAAAAATCAGCTTTAAAAAAAAAGTTGAGGGGCCGGCCCTGTGGCTTAGTGGTTGAGTGCACGCGCTCTGCTGCGGGCGGCCCGGGTTCGGACCCCGGGCGCGCACCGGCACACCGCTTCTCCGGCCATGCTGAGGCCGCGTCCCACATACAGCAACTAGAAGGATGTGTACCTATGACATACAACCATCTACTGCGCAAAAGATAGTTGGGGGAAAAAAAAATAAAATTATTAAAAAAAAAAAAAAGTTGAGCAGTGCCTCCCTTTTCATTGAAGGTCCCATTAATGATAAATTTGCTTTACTGAATAAATTAACCTCAGACAGTCAGTGGAGGCAGTTTTAAAGCCTTGAAGGTGGGGGTGAAGGTGTATGTGGTGGAGGATAGGGTCGGTGATGGGGTCTTCTAGATGAGTGATAAGGAAGCCTGTGGCATGAGCCACCAGGGCGGGAAGGGTGTGTGTCCCTGGCATGACTGAAGTGCAGGGTCTGTGGGGGTCAGTGCAGCCACAAAACCCCATAGAAACGTTTGCCTATTCAGGTGACTTGTGACTATTCAGAGTTTTTCTATCCTTCCATCTCCCCACCTCTCTGATCCTTTTTTTTTTTTTTGTGAGGAGATTAGCCCTGTGCTAACATCTGCCAATCCTCCTCTTTTTTTGCTGAGGAAGACTGGCCCTGGGCTAACATCCATGCCCATCTTCCTCCACTTTATATGGAACGCCGTCACAGCATGGCTTGCCAAGCAGTGCGTCGGTGTGCACCCGGGATCCGAACCAGTGAACCCCAGGCTGCTGCAGCGGAACGCGTGCACTTACCCACTTGTGCCACCAGGCTGGCCCCTCTCTGTTCCTTTATGAACAAAGGAAAGTTGCCATTTTAAAGAATCCTGTATATAGGGTTAAACTGCTGGAAAAGTAACCGATACAATGTTACATATTTTTCATCAATTTGGTAATTTTTAAACAAGTATTTATTTGAGGCTGTTAAGTATTTGCACAGCCTTTTATGTGTCAAAAACTCCATAGCAGAGCAGGTTTGTGTGTGGGGGGAGGACGGCTTGTGTGTCTGTGTCTGTGTGTACGTGAACTTTTATGTCTGAGCCCTGGGATCAGAACCAGAACAGCTGACATTCATTTAGCACTTACTATATGTCAAGGGTTTTCCAGATTTGAGAATTTCTCATGACATTTTACAAAGGCAGATTTCAATAGTCTTAAGTGTTTGTCCTAGTAGTGCATATAAAAGTTTCTCCTTTGGAAGAGAGCTGGTCGAGCTGTACGCTTAAAAATGGTTCCGATGGTAAATTTTATATGTGTTTTTTTACCACAATTTTTTTTAAAAAAGAGCGAGCTAGTCACCATAAGCTCAGAAATTTATTATAAAGCCGAAATAAATCCTAAATACAAAAATGGTGAAAAATGGCAATGTGCAATGAAGGAAAGCGTTATGATTCTTTTAGCATTTTGAGTTCTTTTCAGCTTCTGAGATTTTCAGAATTTAATAATCCATTTCTTAGCTGAAGATTTTTGCCTCCAATTATACATCCTTTACAAACACTGCACACTTAACAAACGGCTAAAGCCTTATAGCATTAGCTGCAAATAACAGATATTTTGAGCCTAATTATTATTTATTCTGTAATAAAACCTCATGTTTCCCAGCACTATGGGTGTGGGTTTTTTCTTTGTTTTTTGCTGTTATTGAGCACATTTTCTATTTTTAATCAAATCTCTTTTAGTATCCTGAGAAGTTAGGTAATTTATCCAAATCTGAGTTTCACTGAATAAATTTTGCTTCTAATTTATTTTTATATGATGCTGAAACTTTTTTTAATGTTGAATTCTGGGAGGAATTTCTCTTTTTTTATTGAGATGTAATTGACATGTAACATTGTATTAGTTTTAGGTGTCCATGAAACTTGACATCTTGATTTACAGTGTGTTGATACTTTTCGTCTAATGACCATGGGAAGTGGTACCACTAACCCCCAGATAACCATGAGATACCCTTGTTGCCTGTCTGGTCCAGGTTCCTCGTGGAGCAGCACTGGTACAAACAGTGGGAATTGTACGTGCAGGGAGGAGACCAGGACTCTAGCACCTTCCCTGGCTGCATCAACAATGCTAAGCTCTTTGAAGGTACCAGGCCTCTGCCTTCCCACATCAGCCTAGCCCTGGAGTTCTTGTCCCCACAGATGATCATAAGCCCCTTCTCTGTGCTAGGTCATTGGTGAGATGGCCAGAGTGGCTCATCACTTTCCTCCCCTGATTCTTCCTCTGCCACCTCCCCCCGCCCCCTGCAGACCAGGTAAACTGGCGCCTCAAGAAGGGACTGGTGGAAGGTGAGGATTATGTGCTGCTCCCAGAGGCTGCTTGGCATTACCTGGTCAGCTGGTATGGTCTAGAGCATGGCCAGCCGCCAATTGAGCGCAAGGTATAGTGGGTCGGGAGGGTGCTGGGGGCTGGGGTAGGGGGAAGGCCTTGTAGGCCCAGGATGGGTCCAGACTTGTGTGTACGTGTGTCTCCATGTATGCTGTGTATATACACCTGTGTGTGCTCTCCTCTCCCCTCATAGGTCATCATACAGGTGTCTTGGTATGTTCACATGTGTGTGCTCCCCTTGCAGATCCTTGTGCATGTGTCTGTGTGTGGGTACACCATGTGTGTTCACTCCTCGGATCTCAGGTGGTTGTGCCTGCGTCTGTGTGTGGGTACACTTGTGTATGCACCCTTCCAGGTCGTGGAGCTGCCCGGCATCCAGAAGGTCGAAGTATACCCAGTAGAACTGCTGCTTGTCCAGCACAGTGATATGGACACACCCTTCACTGCTCAATTCAGCCACACAGCTTCTATTGGTGAGTCTAAGGGTCATGGAATGAGTTGGCGTCCCAGCTCGGTGACCTAAGAATGGACGAGGTTAGGCTGTGGCAGACTGAGAACGCACTGGTCAGACTTGGAGGACCCAATAAGGTGTTGGTCAAGTTGGGCAGAGGCCCTGTGGGGGTCCCCTAGAGTCCCGAGGGCATGTGAGCTGCATTCCAGTGGCTTAGCTGCTGTGGCAGAGGATATTTGCTGGGGCTCTCAAGTCCTGAGAGTGGATCAGTCATTTGGAGATTGATCAGGGACACAAGGTATTGACCAAGTGTGCAAAGTCCGTGGGGATGAGTCAGGGGTCTGATGCTGAGATGGGTCAGTCATTCAGGGTCCCAGGAAGACCTTGAGTGTGCTCCATCACCCTGTACAGACCTAGTTTTGCGTACTGCTCGAGAGCAGTTTCTGGTGAGCCCCCAGGAAGAGGCACGGCTGTGGATCAAGAACGCGAAGGGCTCTTTTGAGAGATTGTGCAACACACGCGTCACGGTGTTCGACGCCGCCCTCAAGACTGGGCAGGTGAGGGTGGGGGTCTTTTCTGCTCACCGACCGTGCTCAGGGTGGGGGATGTGAGGGCTAGGTGCCCAGGGGCCCTCCGTGAATGCCTTTCTTACTTTTCTTTCTCTTCCTCCAACCCAGCTGATCATCATGGAGACCCGAAACAAGGATGGCACTTGGCCCAGTGCGCAGCCGCACGCCACGTAAGCCGTTAGGGAGTCTGGTCCAGAGTGGGGTCTCACAGTTGGCACAGCAACTGAGCCCATGAGCTCATTTCACCCACATGTAGTAGGCCCTCAGCTGATCGAGTTTCTCATCCACCCCAGGAAAAGTGCATCGGAGGAGGATAAGAACTTCCAGGGCCAGCCAGGCATCTGTGGTCTCACCAACCTGGGCAACACGTGCTTCATGAACTCGGCCCTGCAGGTTGGGCCCTTAGGGCTACGTCTGGCACAGCCACAGGGGTGGGCTTCAAGCAAGGGGGATTGGGGACAGGGCTAGGGGGTTCTGCAGGGCAAGGGGTCACTTGGAAGCTAGGGCCCCATAAGTCCGACTTGACACGCCCATGTTCCTTCTTGAAACATCAGTACCTTCTCCTTTGCTCACCTCCTGCTTTCCCTTTTCTTCTGTCCTTGGTTGCCACATTCTTCCTTCTCCTGAAATGCTGCTGTCTTCTCTCCCCCATCCCCCTGCTCCTTCTCTCTTTGTTCCCCCCTCCTCCTCGCTGCCTTTTCTCCGTCCTCACCTTGATCACCCTCTCTCCTCTTCTCTGTCTCATTCACCTGCCCCTGACAGTGCCTCAGCAATGTGCCACAGCTCACCGAGTACTTCCTCAAAAACCGCTACCTGGAGGAGCTCAACTTCTGCAACCCACTGGGCATGAAGGGTGAGATCGCAGAGGCCTATGCGGACCTGGTGAAGCAGGCATGGTCTGGCCACCACCGCTCCATCGTGCCCCATATGTTCAAGGTGTGACTCAGCCCTGGGCTGCCCCCTACGCTGCCCCCACCACTTCTCTTGACTCTCCTAACTCCCTCTTGCACTGACGGCCTTGCCCATCTTCTCAGACCAAGGTCGGCCACTTTGCGTCCCAGTTTCTGGGCTTCCAGCAACATGACTCGCAGGAGCTGCTGTCGTTCCTCCTGGATGGGCTGCATGAGGACCTCAATCGTGTCAAGAAGAAGGAATATGTGGAGCTGTGCGATGCGGCTGGGCGACCAGATCAAGTAGGCGCTCCTGAAAGACCCCCACCCCAAGGGCCCCATTAAAGTCACTCAGGCCTCTACCTCGGGGATGACCTGACCTCAGCTCCAACCTCAGTCCCAGCTTTGGCTCCAACACCACATCTGCCCCCACACCCAACCCAGAGTTAACCCTCACCCAGTCTCCTACCCAAAAATAACCCCCAGCCCTGAGTGAACACAGACTCCAGATAGCCCTAGCTGTAACTCTACCTCTGGACTTCACCAGTGGCCACAACCTTAACTTTAACTCCATGCTCATCCACCCTCAACCATGGTTTCCCCCTGCCCTGGGCAAGCCCCGCCACCTACCGTGCCACTGTCAACAGGAGGTCGCTCAGGAGGCCTGGCAGAACCACAAACGGCGGAACGATTCTGTGATTGTGGACACTTTTCACGGCCTCTTCAAGTCCACGCTGGTGTGCCCCGGTTGTGGCAACGTGTCTGTGACCTTTGACCCCTTCTGCTACCTCAGTGTCCCACTGCCTGTCAGCTACAAGAGGGTCATGGAGGTCTTCTTTGTCTCCATGGACCCCCGCCGCAAGCCAGAACAGGTATGGGGAAATGGGGACGGAATTAGGGACATGTAGTCAGAGTTTGTTAGATTATTTTGCCGTACCTCAAGGCTTCCTGCACTAACTCACCACACGCCCTTCTGCTCCTTTGTGGCTACCGTTTCTCCCTCAGCACCGCCTCGTGGTCCCCAAGAAAGGCAAGATCTCGGATCTGTGTGTGGCTTTGGCCAAACACACTGGTGTCTCGCCAGAAAGGGTGAGGCTCTGCAGACAGGGGGAGGGTGGGGTTTAGGGGCAGGGAGGCAGAAGGGCCTGGGGAGATCTGGCAGACTGACCAGCCCCCTCTCGGCACCCCATTCCCAGATGATGGTGGCCGATGTCTTCAGTCACCGCTTCTATAAGATCTACCAGCTGGAAGAGTCTCTGAGCAGCATCTTGGACCGAGATGATATCTTCATGTAAGTGAGCAGACCAGGGGAGATGGGGGTTCCTCAGGAGCCTCCTCCACTTAACCACCTTCCCTCTCCCCTCCTTGGCCTGATTCACAGGGCTTTGGCCGTGTGCCTTAGCAGGGCAGGGGGCTTGGCGCTGTCAGTGGGGTGGGGCGACAGATCCTCATACAGGGCATCCTTGCGTGTTTTCTTGTTATGTGAGGGAGGCTCCTGTTTCTTCTTTATTTTATTCAGCACTCACTGACCGCCTCCTGTGTACCAGATGCTGACCTGCACTCCTTACTCATATTGCAGTCCTCAGAAACTAAAAGTGATCTTTGAAATAGGGAACACTAAGACGCTTTCTGTATACATAAGCATTCAGAACAAATTTGAAATGTTTGGGTAACTAAAATAGTGCTTCATGAGTGGAAAAGTTCTTTGTAAACTAAGCAATGTTTTCCAAAAAGAAAATGGTTTTAAATCCCTTTGTTACTAAAAATTTTTGTTAACCCCCTCAGCGCTCTGATCACACCAAAGTACTTTATAAAACCTCCCATAAACAAAGTGCTGTGTAAATCATGGAACACTGTACAAAGCACAAAACACTGGGTGACTCTTCAGACCCTTTTAAAAATATTTTCAGGCTGTGAGAAGTGAATGGGTGGAGCAACTAGGGCAGAGTTTGAGAGTTCCTCTTGGGTGTCCTGATCAGGCATGACTGGATGTCCACCCCCACAGATATGAGGTGTCAGGCAGGTCTGCTATTGGCGAGAACTCCAGAGAGGATGTTGTGCTTCCTATCTACCTGCGGGAGCGCACCCCAGCCCGGGACTACAACAACTCCTACTATGGCCTCATGCTCTTTGGGCACCCGCTGCTGGTGTCAGTGCCCCGGGACCGGCTCTCCTGGGATGCCCTGTATCACATCCTCCTGTACCGCCTCTCGTGAGTCTGTCCTTCGGGGGGGGAAGGGGGAAGATGAGGTCTGAACTCAGAGCTGGCTGTCTAGCTGCTTAGTTGCTACCTCCCTTCCACGTACAGAAGACAGCTCAAACTTAACATGGCCGGAGACGAACTTGTAGGATTTTTCTTTCTCTAAACCTCTGGCTTCACCACTGCCTCTCCTAGGTACTGGGGAAACAGAGGTGAACAAAACGGACAAAATACAAACAGCTTCATCTTGTACTTAATTGTCTCCTCAGAGAGACTTGGTGATTTGTGTTTTTACTGATAGATTTTCATTGTGCTTAAAATCCAGAGTCCTTACTGAGGCACATAGAGCAATGCGCTCTCTGCCGTCACCTCTGCCTCATGGTGCACTTACAGGTCTGCTCCCCAGAGGCCTTCCCTAACCGAAACTGACAGCGACTGTGTGTATATGTATCAGGGGCTTACCATACTTCAGATCCACACTCCGTAATTGTGGCACACAAGGTCCTACATTGTCAGGCCACCTCTTCGTGCGTTTCTGTGTCATCTCCTGAGACCTTGCGGCTCATCATTAACAACTGTTGTGGGTTTACCAGTGGCCTCCCATCATAAGCAAAGTAGAATCCCAGGGTCTGCACCCCCTGCCCTTGTGCCCCTCCTCAAGAGTCTCCTCTGCTCTCTTTCCACAGACGCTATGTGACCAGACCCAACTCAGATGACGAGGATGATGGGGATGAGAAAGGTGAGGAAGAGGAAGGATGAGGGTCTGTACAAGCAGTCCCATGGCCTGAAGGGGAGTCAGTGGGTCGGGGGGTCTGGGGTAGGTCTGACCCACACAGGGTCCACCTGGATGTGCGCTGCAGCTTGGCCCCCTGGGGCTCACACAGACCCATCTCTGACATCCTCTCCTGTCCTAGCAGACATGGAGGATAAGGACAACATCCCCAAGCCTGGACACGTGGCTGTGGGCAGCTCCCAAGACCCTGGGCCAGAGCAGGCTGGGCCCAGCTCTGGAGTTGCAGGCAGGAGCCGGGCCCCCGTGGACAACTCCCCTGGCCCATCTCACTGGCCACAGAGGGCGCGGCGCAAGCACCTGTTCACCCTGCAGACCGTGAATTCCAATGGGACCAGTGACCGCTCAACCTTCAACGAGGATACCCATGGTGTCTCCTTCAGCTGTGAGCCAGGGTTGGGGAGGCGGGAGGGGGGTTTCCTTGGCAGCAGGGCCCATGACCACCTCCCCTCGCCCCCAGCCCAGCCGTACATTGCCATCGACTGGGAGCCAGAGATGAAGAAACGTTACTATGACGAGGTGGAGGCTGAGGTAAACAAGATCCCAGGGATGGGGGCCACTTTCAGCTTGCGCCCCTTCAGCTCTTCACACATCCCTTCCCCAGCTCCTCCAAGCCTTGACCACAGAGCTCCCAGGGCCTCAGATTCCTAGCTTCAAAGTCTGTGCTCTTAACCACTCGGTGTGTGTCTTCTACCCCCACTCCCTTTTATCCACCTGTCCTCACATCTGGCCATCCGCTCCCCTGACCTAGGGCTACGTGAAGCATGACTGTGTCGGGTATGTGCTGAAGAAGGCTCCGGTGCGGCTGCAGGAGTGCATTGAGCTCTTCACCACTGTTGAAACTCTGGAGAAGGAAAACCCCTGGTGAGGGACCAGAATGGGGCCTTTGGGAGTGTAGTTGAGTGGGACCACCTGTCCAGGTCCCTGTTACCACTAAATATACCTCCTCTCCCCCACTCATTCAAACCCTCCACTGGCCACCAGCACTCTGAGCCTATCCCCACCTCAGAGCCTTTGCCCGGGTTGTTCCTTCTCTCAGGAGCGCTCTTGCTCCAGCTATCTGTAATATGGAACTCCTTCATTTTGCTCAGGTCTCCCATCACATGTCACCTTATCAGAGAGACCTTCTCTTCCTAGCCTGTTAAAAGCCACTCCTCCCCCAGCCATCAGCTCTCCATTCCCTCCTCATGCTCTTTACTCCCTAGCTGAGCATTACTTTCTAACTCAGTGACACCACTGGGTGTCACGTCCTAGATCTCCTTTTGCATCATTATTTGCCTTCTCCATTAGAGTAAGCCCCTTGAGGGTGAAGACTTTTCACTGTGTGTCTCTTCTCACTGATCATAATGGTGTGGGGTGTGCAGGAGACGCTCAATAGATCCTTGCAGAATAAACAAACAAAACATGAAGAGAGAACCAAAAAGATAAAGCCAGTCTCAAAAATAAGAGCAGCATCTCTATGGAGCAGAAAAGGAGAAGACATAACAAGTAGTGCCCAAAGATTCAGCAGTAGGCAGGCGGTAAATACTTGGTGAGCGTGCGAATGACTGAGTGAATCAAATAGGAAGAGAGAAAACTAGAGGGACAGAGGCAGGCTCTACAGACTAGCGTCTCATTGACCAGAAACCAAACAAAAGTACACACTGGTACAGAAGCAAATACAAAAGGCAATCAGTAAGTCCTTGATGAATGAATGACAGGATTTTCACATGTGAAGAGAGCAAACTAGAGTAACAGGCGGTAGAAGTAAGAGCAGCGTCTCTGGACCAGACATGAAGGCCACATGGTACAAAGAGCATGAGGTAGGTGCTCAGAAAGTGTCTGTGTACTGACTCAGGCTCTGTCTGTAGGTACTGCCCCTCCTGCAAGCAGCACCAGCTGGCCACCAAGAAGCTGGACCTGTGGATGCTGCCTGAGACGCTCATTATCCACCTGAAGCGCTTCTCCTACACCAAGTTCTCCCGCGAGAAGCTGGACACCCTTGTGGAGTTTCCTATCCGGTCCGGGGCCGGGGGAGGCTGGCTGGGGGGGAGGGAGGGAGTGGTGAGGGGTGCACCCATGTTAACCCTCTCCCCATCCACAGAGACCTGGACTTCTCCGAGTTCGTCATCAAGCCGCAGAGCGAGTCGGCCCCAGAGCTGTACAAATACGATCTCATCGCCGTTTCCAACCATTATGGGGGCCTGCGTGATGGACACTGTATGTGCCAGGCTGTGGCAGGGGCATGCCCCGGGGGATCAGGCTGTCCCCAGTGGGTGACTCAATATGTGAGCCAGTGGCGAGGCCGTCAGGGGGGGAGGAGTGAGAGAGTGAACCTGGACCCCTCTTAGGGGCAGGAGGGTAAGTGACGACAGCTCCCCCTCTCTTACAGACACAACATTTGCCTGCAACAAGGACAGTGGCCAGTGGCACTACTTTGATGACAGCAGCGTCTCGCCTGTGACTGAGAATCAGATTGAGGTATGACTTCTGTCCTCCTTTCTCCCCTTCCCCCAACCCCCCTCCCCAATGCACGCTGACTCCTATCCTCTCCCTGCAGTCCAAGGCAGCCTATGTCCTCTTCTACCAACGCCAGGACGTGGCGCGTCGCCTGCAGCCCCAGACTGGCTCATCTGACCCCCCGGCAACCCCTGGCTGCAGTTCCCCACCCAACTCTGAGTTCATGGATGTAAACTGACGAGCCCTGGCTCTGCCGCAGGGAAGCAAGCCATCTCTGCTCTCCCCGCCCTCCTGTCCCGCCGTATCCACCCCCGTCCTCTTACCGCGTTAGGTTCCTCGTGCAGGCATCACAGGCTTAGTTATGGCTACTGTTCTCCTGTGCTGCTATATTGCTCCCTCCTGGAGAAGAAGAGGTTGTGTCTCCTCCCGGCAGTGTGTTCCCTGCCTGTGTTTGCCCCTTAGAGCTTTCACCTTCCCTTCTATTCTCTATTTATGGTTGTCCCCTTCCCTATGTCCTCAACCTGGGGTGTTCTGAGCAGGGTGTGGTGGGTGCACCTGAACACAGAGTGTATTTTCTTATCAAGACCTGTCCCTTCTGCTGTGTATATATAAAGTGCCAGTGTGTTCCTTGGCAGTGTGGGGTATGTTTTCACATACTTAGTAAGCACCAGTTTTCTGCCTGTGTGCTTATTGAATGCCAGGTGTGTGATGGATGCTGCCCTGAGTGCGTATTGAGCACCAGCTGTGCGCCAGGTGCTGTCCTAAGTGCTTTTGAAGCTCTATGTGCCAGACTCGATTCCCAGCACCAGCTGCATGCCCGGTGTTTTCCAAAGCGTTTTGCACACATTGACTCATAATTCTCACAACAGTCTCATGTAGGAGTTGTCACCTCCAGTTTCAGATGGGGAAACTGAGGTATAGAGGTCAGGTAATTGCTCAAGTTCGGTCAGAAGTTCCGCACACCTCGTCACTTACACTGGTGTTGGTGTCTGGAGGGGGCATTTGACCTCTCTGGACCCAGGACAGAAATCTTTCTGTGGACATGACCTGCACTACAGCTGATGTGGAAAAGGTGCCTCTGGAACAAATAGACATCCATGTGGGCAAATGTGTGGTTTCTGGACTAGATACTGACCAGACCACTTCACAGGCTCCCCGTAGTGTCCTCTGAGGAGAGCTCCCGCAGAGGTGGTACACTTGGCCCAAACCAGCCAACCTGAGAGCACAAATGTGCTGTGTCTGTGTTGCCCCTCTACTTAGCCTCCCCCTCCCCCATCCCACCATGACCCCCGCTCCCCCACCAGGCAGGGTCCCTCCAGCCTCATCCCAGAGAAGAGCAAGATGGAGCACCTACCACAAAATGGCTACAGCAGAGTGTATCTGAGAATAAGATGCCTTTTAAGCACTGAACATCTCCCACCTGACCGCTTCCATGGGCGCCAACTATTACCTTTGAGAAAGAGGGCTCCTGGGGGAGCAGCTGTGGGGTGGAGTGGACTGGACAAATGTGTGGCTTCTGGGCATAAACAAGCTCCCCAACCTTTCACACTGAGGAAGGGAACCCTGATCAGTGACGGTTGAGGGACCATTCCCACAGTAAGGGCTTCAACAGTCCCTCTAGCCTGCTGCCTTAGCAGTGGACCTCGTGAGACCCCCTCTGAGGGCCACTCAGGCCCAGCATTACCACCCACAAACCTCCCAGTTGCGCCATTGACACGGGCAAGAATTGAGGTAGTTGGCGTCAGGAACCCAGCTCGAACTGACTTAAGCAAAAATAACAAATACTAGTTTCAGTTATGACTGGATCCAGGAACTCGAAAGCTGTTATTTAATCCTCATGAAGACCATATGCTTTAAGCACTGTTACCCCATTTTGCAGATGAGGCAGCAGGCAGAAAGAGCTGGTTCAGAATAGGCTTTAAGTACAGGAAGATCTCATTACCTATGGGTGACCCGTCCTGGACGAAGCCTCCTAAAGTGAATCCATGTAAAGTACTGCAGTATTGTGATTTGTAAGAAATATGTATTTGGTCATTCAGATGACCAAAATGTATTTCTCATAAATATGTGATCTTCATCCGTAGTTCCTGGCTCACATCTCCCCAAACTCTGGGAATTTCCTGAGCAATAAGAGCAGTGGGAGCATCTTCCATGGTAATATTTGGTCTTCTGTTCCTTTGTTCCTAAAAAACGTTTCAGGGCCATTTAGACCCCACCCAAGGGTGGGGGCTGGTTGCCAGGGCAACCAGCCATGTGATCAGAGGATTAGAACTTTCAGCCACCCCCTGATTTCTGGGGAGGGAAGGGGGGCTTGGGGTTGAATCAGTTGCCAAAGGGCCAATGACTTAGTCACTTATGACTACTTAATGAAGCCTCCATACAACCCCAAAAGGACAGCTCCTCGCCCTTTGCAGAAAGCTTCCACGTGCCACAAGCTCCACGAGGACAGAAGCTCCTTTTCTTGGGACCTCACACTATGTTATCTCTTCATCCGCCTGTTGATTCATATCCTTTGTAATACATCAGTAGTCTAGTGAGTAAATGAATTTTCTTGGGTTCTAGCAAATTAATTGAATCCGAGGAGCGGGTCAGGGGAACCTCTGATTCAGGGCCAGTCTGTCAGAAGTACAGATAACAACCTGGACTTGCAATTGGCATCCTGAGTTGGGGGGTCGGTCATTGGAACCTCCAGTTTGTAGCTGGTCGGTCAGAAGCATAGGTAACAACCTGGACTTTGAGACTGGTGCCTGAAGTGGAGGGTGATCTTGTAGGACTGAGCCCTTTCCTTGTGGAATCTGATTCTATCTCTGGGTAGATAGTGTCAGAATTGAGCTGAACTCTCAGGCACCCTGCTGGGGTCTGAGAACTGCTTGTTGGTGTGGAGAAGCCTCCACGCACACATGTTGGAATTGGGTCCAGGAATCCTTTGCAAGTAACTTTCCCCCCAAAATAAAGTAAGTTCCCTGATTTAACCAAAGACATCTTGACAACATACATAAGAATCAGGAGAAATAAGAGACAACAGACACAGTTAAACAGAGACTCCTCATACTAGAATTCTCAGACATCAATATAAAACAGTTATGCTTACACTGGTCATGGAAATAAAAATGATTACAAGTGAACAAGAAATTTAAAACTTTTAAAAATGAAAATGAGTTGAGGGGCCGGCCCAGTGGCGCAAGCAGTTAAGTGTGCGCACTCCGCTGCAGCGGCCTGGGGTTCGCTGGTTCGGATCCTGGGAGCACACCAACGCGCTGCTTGGCAAGCCATGCTGTGGCGGCATCCCGTATAAAGTGGAGGAAGATGGGCACGGATGTTAGCCCAGGGCCAGTCTTCCTCAGCAAAAAAAGAGGATTGGCAGATGTTAGCACAGGGCTGATCTCACACACGCAAAAAAAAATTAAAAAAATTAAAAAAAAAATGAGTTGAAAAAGAGCCAATTAGAAGTGATAGACCTGAAATGGATAACAAAATTTAAGAAGTCAATGAATGAGTTTAACAACACATTAGACATAGCTGAGGATGGAATTTGTGAATTGGATGTGAGTTAAAGTGTACTAAAGAATGCATCTTCTGGAAGATTTCAAGTTAGACTAATATTATATTTTGATAAATTAAGGGTATCAAACTAAAGAATTAGAAAAGTATAAATTTCAAACAACTAGAGGGAGGGAAATAGAATAATGAATAATCAATCCAGAAGGCAAGAAGAAAGGAGCATAGGACAGAGTGAATGGATAGAGAGCACATACACAATCATTTGCAAATAATGTCTGCTCTGACTCCTCAGTTCAAGGGAGAGAACTGGAAACTGGGCTACTGCTTTGAGACCACGACTGCCATTGTGCCAGGGAGAGGGTGGGGCAAGGGTGAGTAAGAATACCACAAAACTTTCCTACAACTTGAAGATGGCTTTTTCTCCCCCTCCCCCCTGGGGCCAAAGCTTTATTTAAAAATAATTTTTCTCTGCTTTATTGAGGAATAATAGACAAATAAAATTGTAATATATTTATAGTGTGGAACATGGTGTTTTGATATATGTATACATTGTGGAATTATTACCACAATCAGCTTAATTAACACATCCATCATTTCACATAGTTAATTTTTTTGTTTTAATTTTTGCTGAGGAAGATTTGCTCTGAGCTAACATCTGTTGCCAGTCATCCTCTATTTTGTATGCGGGTTGCCACCACAGCATGGCTGATGAGTTGTGTAGGTCTGCACCCAGGAACCTAACCCGAGAACCTGGGGCTGCCGAAGCAGAGGGCAGTGAACTTAACCACTATACCACAGGGCCAGCCCCTGTGTTTTTTTGTGTGTGTGTGGTGAGAACAATTATGATTTACTCTTAGCAAATTTTAAGTATACAATACAGTATCATTAACCATAGTCACCATGTTACACGTTAGATCATCAGACCTTATTCATCTTCTAACTGGAAGTTTGTACCCTTTTACCAAGCTCTCCGCATTTCCCCCACCCCCCAGCCCTTGGTAACCACCATTCTACTCTGTTTTTCTGAGTTTGGCTTTTTCAGATTCCACATATAAGTGAGATCACACAATATTTGTCTTTGTCTGTCTGACTTGTTTCACTTAGCATAATGCCCTCAAGGTCCATTCCTGTTGTTGCAAATGGCAGGATTTCATATTTTTCATCGCTGAATAATATTCCTTTGTGTATATATACTACATCTTCTTTATCCATTCATTCACTGTCAGACACTTGGTTTCCATGTCTTGGCTGTTGTGAATAATGCTGCAATGATCATGGGAGTGCAGGTATCTCTGCAGTGGAGTGATTTTATTTCCTTTGGGTATATACCCAGAAGAAGGATTGCTGAATCATGTGGTAGTTCTAGTTTTAACTTTTTGAGGAACCTCCATACTGTTTTCCACAGTGGCTGCGCGAATTTACATTCTTACCAACAGTGCACAAGTGTTCATTTTCAGGCCAAGGATTTTGAGAAGTGGGGATTCTCCACTCTCTCATCTTCTGAAAGATGGCTTTTTTTTTAATTGGACGCTTGCTCCATTGCTATAAACCTCTGACTGTTTTCCAGAGCTCTGACACAGTTGGTTCTGACAAGTCTGCTTGTTTTTTTGATGTTTCTGTTGGGGAACAAGAGCTTGGAGCTTCCTAGTCTGCCATTTTATTGATGTCACTGGCCTTGCACATTATGTTTTAAGTGTATTTCTTAACACACTTAGGTAGCATGTAGTTGCATCTTTTTATATAATCGAATCTGATGATATCTGTTTTAATTGGGGTGCTTAGATCATTTAGTGAATGTGATTATTGATATGTTTAAGTTTGAGTCTTTCATCTAGCTATTTGTTTGCTATTTGTCCTATGCACCCTTTTCCTTCTTTTTCTGCTTTATTTTGGATTAACTTTTTTTTTCTTTTATTTATTTATTTTTTGAGGAAGATTAGCCCTGAGCTAACATCCGTTGCCAATCCTCCTCTTTTTGCTGAGGAAGACTGGCCCTGGGCTAACATCTGTGCCCATCTTCCTCTACTTTATATGGGACGCTGCCACAGCATGGCTTGATAAGTGGTGCATAGTTCTGTGCCCAGGATCTGAAACTGCGAACCCCGGGCTGCCGAAGTGGAGCACTCGA